CCTTCTTCACTCCTCTGGCCGGTCTAAAATGGAATGACCATCTACTCGACCAAGAGTATGCTGCACCGGCCTCCTCCCCAGACTTGGAAGCTAACCTCGAGATCCTCATGCGCGGGGATCCTCAAACCGGGAGGATCTTCCATCAAGGCAGCTGGGTTTGGAGGGTAGAGTCGGGTGGTGAGGGTACCTCCCAGGCCCAGGAAGCAGCGGGGCGCGGGGTACCCTCCCCGGGCAACACTGCAGAGGCCGAGGGCCAGAACCGCCCAGATATTTTTCACTTTTCTTGTGTTTCGTAGTTTGACCGGGCAAACTATTTGTACTTAATGTTTTTAGTTTGTTTTGCAGATATGGAGTTTGAAGAGTTCGCTATCCCCGAGGACAAACCAGCGGGGGAGACCGGGGGCTCCCAAACCAACACTGCCAGGACCTTCCCGGTCAATCCAGAGACCGTGGAAATCCTTGACGAAGAGGAGCCCCAAGAAGACCGGTCTAAGGGGAAGGAGAAGGAGAAGGCCGGTCGCCGGGTGAAGAAGGTGGCCACCACGCACCCCTCCTATGCCAAGAAGAGGGCAAGGTCAGATCCTGAGCCGGCCGGCCAGACCATCGAAGAGGCCTTCGTCAACCTGGGGCTGAGGCTGAAGGAGGTAAGTTCTGCTGCTATCCTGGTCTTGATCCCTCTTCGCTATTATTCCATTCTTACCGGGCTTCTTTTTCCTCTTGTGCAGGCGGGGGAGATTGGACCCCTCACAGCCGACCGGCTTGGTTTAGGCTCTCCCTCGGAGTTTGCCCGGCTGAAGAAGGAAAAAGAGAAGATGAACCTGATTTTGAAGAATCAGGCAGATGAGCTGATCCGCCTGTCTAGTATGGCCGGGACAATGAAGGCGGAGATCTACCAGCTGAAGGAGGAGAACGGCCGGCTTATGGATGAAGTTTCTGAGGACAAGAGGGAAATGGCGGAGAAGGTAGAAACCTTCCCCGGGCGCGCAGCCGCCTGGGTTGAAGAGAACAAAGTCGATGCTGCCCGGGTGATGACGGCGACGCCGGAGGCGACCTTGGAATCCTTCAAGTTCCTATACCGGGAACTTGAAGGGAGAAAAATGATCACCGCCATCGGATCCTTTGGGTTCAAGAGTGGTCAGAAAAAGGACCGGATTGCCTCTCACCGGGTACTACTCAAAAGAGACCCGGGCTTCAGTGCTGCATCCTACGGCTTGGCCCCCATTCCTGAGGAAGAGCCCACTCCCCCTTTCCCTCTTGAGTAAAACTCCCCGGATCGGACCGGTTGTTTTGTAAACTGGAAACTTCCTTCATTTCCCCGGGAATGCCCGGTGTAGCTGTAAAACACTTAACATTCCTATTTTCTCTGAGTGCATGTCTGTTTTTTGTACCGGTTAATCTTTCATATCTGCTTGCTTCATGATTGTTAGATATTCTGACCGGTAGATATATTAGGCCACTCCTCAATTGTTTTCGACCGGTAGAACTTCCAAGTTCTTGATCACTT